ACACACACACACACACACACACACACACACACACCTTGACGTCATGGCGTAACATGTAAAATCCTCACCCAGAAATCAGCTTCACAGTTACGGATTACGACCAAGAACTGTGTATCCTTATTGTTGACAGGGCGGCACGTTGCTAAATAGAAGAAACGTGGGCAAACATTGCCCGACAAGCATTTTTTTTCTTTTTCTAACCAGGTTTGTCATGTTTGGTTGTTGTTTTTTTTTTTCGTTTGTGTCCCTTATGAAAAATTCTGTTCATAAGGGAAATGAAAAAAAAAAGGGGGTGGGGGTGGGGGAAGGAAATGGAGGGCGGGGGGTCTATTTGGAAAGGGTTACGGGGAAGTGACCCGCGGGCGTAATGTCACTGGGCGAAAAAGTGGGGTTGACTGCTCTACCTGGAAGTATTTAACTAGATCCCAGCGGCCCCGCGTCTCAGACAGGGGTTTGTTCACATCGAAACAGTTGAAGCAAAAGGCTTTACTCTTAAATCTTCTCCCCCAGCAGTCTGTGTTTGTGAAGGCTTCTTCTCGTTACATGGACTTGTTGCCTAGTGTATCAGTCAATGCCGGGGATTAGCACGAGAGCTTTTCACATCTAAAAAAAAATAAAATAAGTTTTTAGCATGCATTTCCTGAACGGAGACCATGGTTATGCATAATCCAGTGCCGTCATTTTGTGGTCAAGACATCGGACCCCTGGCCAGTGCTCGAGATTTCGGGAGTGATCCTCTTTTGTGGTATATCACGAGAAAATATAAGATGGTTTTTGGTTCATTTTGATGATAACTGAATGAATTTTTCTGTTAGAGGAGGTAAGCTTTGATTCGTTCAGAAGTATAAATATACAATTCTAAAAATAAATGGTTATACCACGTAAAACGATGCTCTTTATTGTCGGCAGCATACACCTGAAAGCTTATTTATGAGGCTTTCAATTCATTTAAAAAATTGATATAATTCACCAACAAAAAAAAAAAAAATTAATAAAATCGCTTTGAGAGATGAACTGTTCCTTTTTAACTACATCACTATGGAAACCTTGCAAAAGTTCTTTTGGGTACAGGAAAAACTCCCCCAGGGAACGTAACACTTTCAATATACATACACTAATCGCACGGCTGTTATTTATAGCATGTATATCGGTTGTGTTATGTTCAGTCTCTGGCCATAATAACCATGACGGTTCGGTGGGTGGCGCCGAGCTGCACGATGAAAACAGTTTACAGTTTTTGTTTCTGAATTTGAGCGACTACAGAGCGGTGGCGGAGAGGAAGCGCCCGTCTCCGCATGTCTACGAGCCAGAGCTATCCGGCCCGCACCGAGCTGAGCCAATAGCTTTGAGCTTAGTATACAAACCTATCAGCATTTCGGCATCAGCGCGCGCTCCTTTAAATGATATCTCTTCAGTACGCGATCCCCAAAAACAGTCGCGGTATCAAGGTATCGACCTGGATTTCCCTCCCATGATCTCTAAACCTTACCGAAGCAGACGCATTCTCGACCATACGCAGTTCATCTCGGAGCTCAGCCACCAGCAGCATCGGCAAAGTGACGCGTCGACTCCTGAGTTGGGTTACGCGAAGGACGATGCCTACTACAATGATTTTGATTATAACGCCGAGTACGGCGATCTTAGAGACCCGAACCCAACGGCTTACACCGAGCTGACGGACGAAGTGCTGCTTCAAGTCTACAGGGCAAGGAGCCCGTGCCACCAGTCTAAGCTTCAGTGGGTCAGGGACGACAAGGACTGTTCCGTCTTCTTCGTCTGCGCCCGGAACAGGGTGGCCGCAGTCATGTCCTGTCCGAGTAAAGAAGTGTGGTCGAACCGGGCGACCAACTGTGTCCCGTTGAGGTCTAGGTGGGACGACTGCGTTATCGTCGGTTCTGACAACGGAAATTATGATTCGCCGCCGCCGCCGCCAAAAAGAAACGATCCACGGGGGAAAACGCGTCAGTACGACAGCTGGCCTCCCTCCACCACAACGGAAGCCCCGACAACAACGCGCGTTACAACCACTACAGAACTTCGCTTTGGCGAACACTCTGAACCTTGGGCGTACGAAGACGACCCCCGACGTCACCCAGAGTTTAACCCAAAAGTCCCGAGCGGAGACGGTCGAAAGTTTAAAACCGGAAACCGGCGTCTGAATCCGGTGACCAGACACGGAGAGTACGTCGCGAAGAAGATGACCAGCTCGGCCGTGAGCAGGAACGAAGAAAACAACGACACGAAGCGTATTCCGAGACGCCACGTCAGGAGAAAACTGAAGCATTCTTTCCAATCGGCGCGACGAACGCAGAACCCGCAGAAAAGTCGGGACACCACGACGGGGTACTGGGAGCGTTATGGCGAAGGTCTTCAGAGCACACTGATTCCATCGACAACGACCACCACGGAGCGGCCGCCCGACACTTCCACGTCTACGCACTTACCCGTTTATATGGGGACCGCAAGCCCTTTGGTCACGCGGCGATTCAAGCTGAAGCAGTTTTTTCCTCGCCGAAAGAAAGACCGCGTTAAAGAGTTACATCTCAAGACCGACGAGCTGAACCTCCAGTATGACGTCAAGGGGGGTAACCTGGACGTGGAGGACGTCGTGAACAACTTTGCGGGCGAGCCGTCGACGACGCCGCGGCCGACACCCGGCGTCGAGGTCCAGGACAGGACGACGGAGAAGCCATCGACGGGCTGGTGGGTCGATATCATCACGTTGGGGCCACCCGAAATCTTGGAGGAAGCCAAACCAGTGACCACCCCACAGCAGAGTCAGACCACCACCGTCCCTCCGGTGGTCCACAACACTACGTTTCCATCGTACATACCAGGTAGGTGGTTATTAAAATTTTAAAAAAGTTAACAAAAACTCGTTTCAACTTAATGAGCAGTATCATTAGCGGTAGAGTAGCGGTTGTGGAAACTTTTTTTAAAAAAATCATTACAAAAAAATTGTTACCATTGAAGTCAATCATCTTTGGAGATAAATCAAGTAGAGATGATAATTTGACAGCTTATTTTATCACAATTTTAATTGATGTTCTTTTTAATAATTATAATGAAGTTAAGCCTAAGAGAATTTTTGCCACTTATTGGTTTATAGTTTTCACATATTATGTAACAGACAGGTATTCAAGGATGAAATTATTTTATAATAAAATATCTCTCAACAACACCCCCCACCCACTTCTTTTGTAAAAAAAAAACAAACAAACAACAACAACACAATCACAAACAAACAACCACAAACAAACAACCACAAACAAACAACCACAAACAAACAACCACAAACAAAGAAAGAAAGAAAGGAAACAAACAAACAGAGAAAAACAAACCCTCAGAGTCTTGTTGTTCAAGATGTAGTCATAGAGCGTTTGCTTTTTTTTTAAAATAGGAAATGCAGTCCTAAAAATAAAAAAAGAGTTTTTTTTTAGAATTCCACATCGTAGGGATTCTGTTATCCTTTACAGTGCGCGATGCGCCATAACTAAAGCGAACATTTAAAAATATGGACTTTTATTATTCTTGTGATGAGCTAAAATAAAAATATAAACATGGATGAAAAAAAAAATGTTTGTGCCAGTTTGGTGCGTCTAAAATGTTAATTAAACTCACGTCAAAATTTTAATTTGGTCTTGGTTTTTCTATACATTTCACGTCCATCACTTGCAGAAATCAACGCAGAGTCTCTCTCTCTCTCTCAATCTCTCAGCGGTGTCAAAACCTTTTTTCTCTCCCATACCGCTTAATTAGACTTTTCCTTTATGAGCATGGGCGCCCGCAGGTAGGGGCAAGGTGGGACAAAAATAGACAAAAAATGTATTAAAGTAAAGAGAAAATAAAGAGAAAGTAACTAAGCTGATGTCCTGTCCGTTCGTTCGCCATACAAATACGCGACAGTAAATTAAAACTATATTAAAACATTACTAAAAAAAATTTGCCCCCCCCCCCCTGGAAAGTTAATCTTTTTTACGGGCGCCCATGTTTATGAGTAACCCCCTTCCCCCACTCATCCCTAAAAGAGTATTAAAACTGATTACCTAAATAATCAAATAATATAGAAAAAGCTAATGACTTTTAATAGGCTTTTCTTTTTTCCCTTTTAATAGTCATTTCAGTTTTTGTTGTTGTTGGTTTTTTTTACAGACAACATCGCTAAAATAAATCACAATAAAAAAAACATGAAACAATGAAGAACTACCAACATCGGAATTTCATACAATTATTAAATTTAATCCACAAAAAAAAAAAAGTCTGTGTCTAAAATGTAATGATTAATATATCGCTAAATTTTGAAATTTTGAAATTTTGCGTCTCGTAAATGAATGGTTGTACAAAAAAAAAAAAAAAAAAAAAAAAACACACTAAATCTAATTTTTTAATTTTTTTTAAAACCGTTTTCCGCCTTTATCAATATCATTATTATGTACGCCAAAACGGGCCGCCGCATACCCCCAGCGGTAAGCGTAGCCTGCTATAGGTTGGGAACCGCTGCTCATCATGCATTATTACAAAATAAAATTTATTTAAAATGTCTACAACTTTTTCCCTAACAAGAAATAAGCCCAAACAGTTTTACAAGCCAATTCCTATATTTTTTTCCCCACACACGCTGTGTTAATACATATCCGTACGTATCTGGAAATTGATCGAAAAATCGACGGAAATTTGATCGAACGGAAATTTGGTCGAATCTGTTTTTCAGTTCACACGTTAACATGTTGCGTCAAATTTATGTATGAACCACAATATTTTGTTTTACTTTATAATATAGTGCGTTCAAAAAGAAATTTCACGAACATTTTAACGTGTGAAATGGAAAAAAAGATTCGACCCAATTTCCGTTCGATTAATTTTCCGTCGGCCAAATTTGTTTCGAGCAAATTTCCGGTAACCATATCCGAAACCAATTGTTCGAGGACATTTATTTTAAAACTTGAGCAGTTTAAGCATTCTGATTACTGCTACCACTGAACCCTTAAACCTAATGAAAAATGATTGCGCTGCCAAAGTAGATTTCAAAAATATTTTTAGGCATATTCATATTTTAAATACAAGTATTCCACCAAACTCATATAAATTAAATATTATAAAGCGAGACCAGAGCCGTCGCGTGTCTTTTGGGGGCTCTCTTCCACTTTTCGGTTTTGTCCTCCCCCCCCCCCGCACTGGTGTGGTAAAGGTGGGGGTGGTCCGCCCCGGGCGGCACTTTTTCGTACGCATTGAGGGGCGGGATTTTCGGTCAACTGCAGAGGGCGTTTTTTTGCGTGGGTAGGGGGGGGGCGGAATAACTATTTGCTTGCCCAGGTGGCCCTAACTCTATAGCTTCGTGTCCGGCCCCAGGTGAACTGCACGATTTTTGGGCCCTTAATACATCCGAGGCCTCCTGCAGTCGCAGGGGTTGCAGGGCCCACTCGACTGCTCTGAGCGAGACTAGGCTGGATGCCGAATTTCCGATCTCTGGGATTAGAAGAGACTAGAGAATTTGGGGCTAAGAAATTTCTAGCGTTTAAAAAAAAAACGCCGCACATATCAAGTGAAATAAAATAATAGATTTGCAATATTAGTAATCGCTGACGTCAGATGACTAAGTGGTGGCGGCTATATTAATACTAATTTCGTCACACATTTACCGGTGATTTTTATATAAAGTGATTTCAGAGGAGACCCCCCTCCCCCAAGCCCCCAGTAAAAAAAAGTAGGATACCGTTTTGAATTCTCAGTTCAAACTCTGTGTGTGTAAGTGTAAGGAGTGAGGGACAGGGGAATTAACACAACTTGAGGGCAATGGAAATCCCACTCTCCCCCAAATTATTTACATGGCAGTGGCTTTTTAAGGGGGGGGGCGGAGTGGGTGGGGCACCCCGGGCGGAAGTTTTGTCCTTACATGGAGGGGCCAATCCCCGATCTTCTTTCGTGGAAAAAAAAAAGGGGGGGGGGTTGCTGAAATTTCTCGTCCCGCTCCGGTCGGCACTAACCCTAGCTACACGCCTCTGATTCCAATGGTGAATTGCTAGAAAACGCACCTGTTGCAGGTTCCCGGACAATACATCTTTAAAAATGTTTCTTCATTATATCATTATAACCGTAGCCCATATGCCAGGTCTTGGTTGCAGCAACGTAGTCTATCTATCAGAATCAATGTACCAAAATGTAATACATAAAATTTCTCGTTCATTCATTGTAATAGGTCATTATTTCCAGTGTGTCTTCGTTTTATTTGGACAGAATGTGGCGTCTCGGTGACCAGCATGATCGTCGGCGGGATGCCGGCTCAGCGAGGGCGTTGGCCGTGGGTGGTGTCACTGCAACTGTCCTGGGCGCGCAGGCACGTGTGTGGCGCCACACTGATTCACCCACAGTGGGTGGTGACAGCGGCACATTGTGTCGCCGGGTAAGTACAATTTTTAATGTTTCTGGTGTGGTAGCTGATTGCTTGGCCAGTGTGGAGTTTGGGTGCGGTGATCTGGGCGATCAAATAACATTTTATGCACCTCAAGATTATAAGGCTTCCTGTAGGAGTACGCCTACAACATGGTATGTTTTAAAGTATAATTATATGATGACATTTTGTCACTTGGGGCCCGTCCATTAAGTACTCCAGGCTATCATATGGACAATTTTACACCCACACCCAAAAGTACGACGCACTTTCCAACTAAATTATTTTAAAATAATTAAATGCTAATAAAAATTCAATCTAAAACACTCTTCACAATAAACAATTAAGTTTATAAAAGGGGGATCTTCTGTAAGAGTACATTCGTCACAACAGAACGTATAACATCACTGTCAGAATACATCCATCACAACGGAAAGTATAACAACAGGAAGTTTAACATCAGTCAATTTCAGGTTTTATGTCTATGATAAAAATATTGAACATGTGTGACGTCATGCAATATAATTTGTCCGCCCCCCCCCCATACCCCAAACAGTCACACTTACTTAGACCCCAGCTACCCATTCAGGGGTTTGACGTACTATATGGCGACCTCTTGTCATGATTTAAGCCAGTCTATGGCAATTTTAAAATATTAACTTCCTTGCTATATAACCTTCCTCCCCCCCTCCCCCCCTACCCATCCCCCATTTCCACAAACGCTCAGACATTTAAAATGTCCATTTTAACATTTAAAAATGTATCTCATACAGTTTAAAGTGTTTCTATAATGTGTTTAGATGATTCCGATTTTAAGTGAACTCTAAGCTAAATAAAGCTTTGATGCTCCTTAAATTAAAAAAAAAAAATAATAACATAATTATTTCGCACATTATGATAAATTTAGAAACATCTGGGCAGCAGAAGTGTAGCTTTAAAGTGAAAACAATTTGGAAATACAAATTTACTAAATCATCTAGTGCAGTGGTTCTCAACCTTCCTACTTCCGCGACCCTTTAACACAGTTCCTCATGTTGTGGCGACCCCTAACCACACAATTGTTTTCGTTGCTGCTTTCATAACTGTCGAGTATATGTGTTTTCCGATGGTCTTAGGTTGCCCCTCTGAAAGGGTCGTTCCACCCCCAAAGGGGTCGCGACCCACAGGTTGAGAACCGCTGATCCAGTGGTTTCTATCTCTATTTTTTTAATCCGTACCATGAAAATCCACAGGCCAGATTTCAACAGTGCTGACGAATGGAGGGCAGTTTTTTGGCAGCACGGATCAGCACAGAAGATTGACTACATCATCAAGGTAAAACTGGATTTGGTAAACATTCGTTAGCAGCACTTTCTTGGGAAAATAATACTTTTCACCTAGACCTTTTTGTCGGTTTTATTTCACTGTAATATTCTGCTGATGGCCACAGGCTGAAACCGTTAACATTTATCTGCAGCATCCAGATTTTGTCAACGGAGACAACTACCCCAACGACATTGCCTTGCTGCGCTTGTCGAAAGCTGCCGACGTGTCTGGGTTCGATGTCCGGCACGCATGTTTACCAGAGAGAGAGAGGCACCAGCGAGAATGGGAGGAATGCTGGATCATGGGATGGGGAGAAGCTAAGGGTATGTCTAACGCCATAAATACATCCATAAAATATAGTTCAGCGGAGTGCAGTGTAGTCTTCCGATAATTTTATTTCTAAGGAAAAATTTAACACTACCTGTGTGTGGTTCAATGGCTTATAGCTAGAGCTAGTCGTGTCCAGAGAGGCCAACATTTTTGACGCATCCCCCACCCCCCACCCCCTTTTTTTTTACGCGAAAAAAAAATTTGCAGTTGGCCGAAAATGCCGCCTTTTAATATAAAGAAAAAAAAAAGGTTTATGAACAAAACTTATAAATGAGGGGGAAAAAAAAAATTTGCAGTTGGCCGAAAATGCCGCCTTTTAATATAAAGAAAAAAAAAAGGTTTATGAACAAAACTTATAAATGAGGGGGAGACTGCGATAAGATTGAGCGATAAGATGGTGGGGGGGGGGCGCTCCCTTATCCTATCTCAGTGGCGTAGCTAAGGGAGGAAAGAGGGTGTGGATGTTCCCGTGGGCTATATACTAGTGAGGGCGGAAATCAGAATACTCAACAACAAAAAAACAAAAACAAAAAACAAAAAAACAAAACAACAACAACATATAAAGATATATGAAGTGGAGCTCAAATGCTGCACCCAAACATGTGGCCAACAGAGCAGATCCGCCCCTTTTCCTAAACCAGTGGGTTGATGAATGACACTTGGTAGTATTTAGGCAATTTAGGCTTACGGCACGAGCAAAGCGACTCATGAAGTAGTCCTTGTGACTGAGGGATCTAACCGACAGAAAGTTTGACCGTGACTATTACTTAGACAACAGATCTATTAATAGAAAACGGACAGTTGAACTAATACTGCCCGCTTCGCACCTGGTCCAATCCTATGCAAGAATGACCCAAGTGGGTGATTAGCCAATACGCCTGAAAAGCTGCAGGCTTAAGACCAACGGACGTGTCGGTCGAGAAAGCCGTGGTGGTGTAGAACATGCCGGTCTTAGCTCTGTGTGGTTTGAGTTGGGGGGGGGGGTGTTTATTTAAACTCGTAAGTTTGCATGTATCAGTAGCTGGGAGCCATGTTGGCCCGTGGTAGGGCAAGCAGCACATTTACATATCATATCACGCATAAAATAGATTCTGAGAAAGTATCAACAGAGGTCGCTGCTTCCTGTGGTTTTCTTACACCGGTGATCTCTTATATTCTGTGGTAAAGTCACGGGATTAGTATACGTATTTAGGGTATTGAAATTCAATACTAATTTTGTTTATCACAATTTGAATCATAACGATAAAAGCTATGGTGAGTCTTTGGTGACAGAGACTTAAATTTGGAGCCTTTTCGGGGGGGAAAAAATGGGCAGATAGGCCTGAATCGTTGCGGAATGAAACTTTGTGTTTTCTTGCGTGTCCCCCCCCCCCCAATTTGAAAATAGTGTTGTTTCCACGTTTTACAACACCTGTTGAAGGACATAAACCTAAATTCTTGCTATGCCCTCACCGCCTATTGTGTCGCTCTTTTATATACCTTTTCATTTTGTTAAGTGGAATTGGAGACGTCGTATTTTATTAACGAGCATTTAAAAAATCAATAGGGATACAATGGGTATTTTGAAATATCAAATGTCTGACGCTTATATAAATTCATGTTAGTCATAGCTGAACATCTCTTTATATCCTTGACTAGATCACATGGAAACTGAACTCATGGAGCTGGAGGTCAACATAAGGAAGAACTCGGAATGCTCGGCTCGCTGGGGCTGGAAGAGGATCCTCAACTCTCACGTCTGCGTTGGCAATGGTGACAGGGGAGCTTGTAATGTAAGTAGGCGTAGGGCTGTCTGTTTGGTTATTTTAATAGTTATAGGAGGGGCGTAAATAAAATATAGGCCTATGGCACCAATGGCAGAAAATTCGATTAACTTTCATCACCATAAGAAAACTCATCATCGCAACTCCATTTCAATGTGATATCCAACTCAAATCCTCCCTACCCTCCCCCCCACCTTTTCCAATCTCAAAATGATGTTTAACTATAGCATATGCAAGAACTTATTTAAAACAAGTTCTTTTTGAATAACAAAACACATGATTTTAAAACAAAAATACGCTTTCTTAATTTAAAAACAAAAAAAAAAAATCACAAGGAACAATAACATGATTGTAAACGTGGTCACTTTCAACTTTAATATAGATCCATTTTTTTTCTCACAGGGTGACTCAGGGGGACCGCTCGTGTGTCGCAGAAATGGCTACCACTACCTGGCAGGTGTCACATCGTGGGGGGTGAGTGGATGCCAGACGACAGGGTATCCCAGTGTCTTTACGAGAGTGGCCTACTACACGGACTGGATACACGACATGCTGCAGACTCACACCAAAGAGAGATAATTGACGCCACATTCAAGTCAACAACCAACCTTTCGATGTAATGTGTTGCACGTGTTGCAGCACAGGGATGAAACTTCACGCAGCGTCTTGGCGTATCTCTCGTCAGCTACGTACATCAGAAACAAAACTCCGAACTCCAGCACAATCAACTGCCATCAGTACTTTCACATTTACCTACTGCAGCTGTTGTAGGGGTGGTCTTATCATACACTGTCCCATATTGATGTGGCAAGAATCCTTTTACATAACATTAGTCAAAGGCTATTTGTGCGAATCTGGAAGTGTGTGATTGATAATAGACTATCCACAGCCAGTGGTGCACAGATCTAGAAGCCTCATTTTAAGGAATAAGAAAGGAAAATCTAGTGGTATAAATAACTACAACCTTCAACTATTTTGGGATTCGAATTTCAAGTGAAATTAATTTTCCTTTTTTTTTTTTTTTTTTTTTTATTTATTATTTTTTTATTTTTTTTTTTTTTTTTTTTTTTTTTTTAAATAATGACTTTTTGACTTATTTTTAAGCCTCTTACTTTGATTAAATTTGACTAAAAAATGTTTAAAATACAGCAAAAGAGAATAAATCTTTACTTGACATAATTCCATTACTATATTTAACTTTTTTATTTAAAAAGGAGAAAATTTAAAACTCATTAAAAAAAGCATTTTTCAAACTACCAGGTTATGAAAGTGTAATATATTATGCTATCTCAGATTCCCATGACCAAGCATGTATGGGTAACTATTGGGTATAGTTCAGTGAAGGTATTCCAGACCTGTTTACCCTCAAACTCTTAAAATCGTACAATATCATCACATACTCGTTGAATACATTATATTTATAGAGAAAAAAAAACGTGCAGTATATATAATTTATACAACTCAAAATCGTACATTGTACGCCAAAATCTTAAGAGTAAACAGGTCTGGTATTCCACCTGTTATTCCCTTGTTCATTATTTGCATTCATTGAATATTTCATTTCATGAGGCAGTGGGAGAAATGTGTTTAAACACTGTGCACTTGCTACCACTCCCTGGACAAACATAATATCATTATAAATATCATTGTTGAACCCCAAGCCCGCATTAATCAAGATGATGTCTAGCCTGTGTGTCTTTGTTTTATTATGGTCACATTTAAATTAAACAATTTTAAGGTGGGCGAAACGCTAATAAGTTTTACCAACATTTGATACAAATTTTTATTTGAAAATTAATGTAGGGTTTATTAATTGTTAAGGCCTCAAATCCAATGAAGCCAACAAACAAAATTAACACTGACAACCATTTTATTTCCAATGAGAGAAAAAAGGAAGTTTCAAAATTCTCCCTTCACCATTTTGCTATTTATAGCTTTCCTGAGACACTGCCCCCAAACTCAATGATCCCATAGAGTTACCCCGCTTTGTTAGTGCCCTACATGTGCTTATTATTTATTATTACTGTATGGATTATATTATATATCTTTATAAAAAGTGTAAATTTCAGAATGAATATTTGTTTTATACATTTAGAAAATCCTAATTATAAAAGTATCAACATTGGGATAAATAAGCCATAGATAAAAGCTTCAAAAACCATTACAGACAACTATGTTCACAACACAAAACTTTGCTGTGAACTCCATTTGTAAATATTTCTTTAAGAATCAGACAAATTTCTTACAAACTTCATAAATGTAATTGCCCCATTGTATACAGATAATTATTCAACATTTTTTGCCTACATAGGTGTAAATACTAGTATTTTGATGCATATCCTGAAATTTTTACGAAATAAATTTGTTAGACTGAAATTAGTTCGGATGGAAGTTTTTTTTATTTATTTATTTGTTAAAATGTTTTTAGTGAAATTGTAAACGTTTTAATAAATTTTATTTTTGTATTTTTTCCCCATTATTTCATTTTAAACAAACTTCCTCTCAAACATATTTTCATAGAGCAATTTTCCTTCAAACAAATTTCTTTTTTACAAATGTCTGGTAACCCTTTTAATGCAGAGCATGTGTGTGTGTCAGTATTTGTTTAACAATTCTAATATCAGCTGAAGCCAGGTTCAAGCTGTGGAGTTTGCCAAATCATGTTCCAATTTTTTAAAAATAAATAATGACTGCACATGGCAAATACACTGAGCTGTTTGGTCAAATGAAACACAATGTGATAAAATCTTCAGCCCAGAATCATACGATAATCAGAATAATGCCGTATGTAGAACGTTGATTGGTTTTGCACTGATGTTTTTTGTTCAACTCATTACTAATCTACTGTTTGCTTTGTAAAACAACTTTTCATAATCATTTATAATCCTTCTTTTCTATGTTAATAATTCAATAAACTTGTATACTTAAATGAGATAAATTCATTTATTTACTGTTTATAAAAAAATCAACATGATTAAAGGAAAATATTTGCTTTCAGAAACTTCTGAGGTGCAAAGATAGAAACACATTCGATTTAAACATAAATCATAAGAACGAACAAATTTAAGACAAAGCAAAATTTTAAACCGCATCAGCTTTTCTATCACTTAGCTGCAAGCAATGCAAAGTTGCGTGGTGAAATCTTTGAATCGAATATTGGTACCAGAACGCTGTTTACTCCTGAAATGGAATGTCACACAGTTTATTTAAATCCATTACTATTAACTTCAACTAGATTTACTGCAGTCATATACTCAACACAAAACAATGCAAAATAATTTTTTTTTAAATTATAAGAATGATGGTTTACAGTAACTATATTGATTTAACAATTTTTTTGCTTTTTTTCAAAGCTAAAATTTCTATAAAAATTAGTTTGTTTTTTACACATAATTTTTCATAATTGTAGATTACAAAATAATGTGTGAACTATAGATTAAAAAATTAGATTTGAACTACAGATTACAAAATTAGGTGTGAACTGTAGATTACAAAATCGGATGTGAACTAAAAATTCAATGGGCTACTTATTTTCTGTCATACCTTTTTCTTGCAAAAATAAAGCCCTGTCCAACAGTATGAAGGACTCAACAACAGGAGCCAGGCTCAGGCGTAATGTGTAGTATGCTACAACTCTTTTCCAGTTCTGACACAGCAGCTCACAATCCCCCATCAGTTCTTTGGACACAGTCTCACTGATGAGACCAACTTTCTTCAAGTTTTCCAATGCATAACTATAAAATATAAATGATAAAATCCTTTCCAATCAAACCAAAACAACTTTTCACAACTCTGAAGGATACTTAAAAATTAAATAAATCATAAGAACAGTTTGATTAATAAGAGTAGTCAACTCCTGTCTTAGTCTTTGGACTTTCGTCTAAGAAAAAATATCTGAGTAGCTTGTAGTGGAATAATCAATCCTATATCTGTATGATTCATGAAACTATAGGTCTGAAATATTAGTTTGTCATGGGACCCCTCAGTTGTTGTAGACCCTAATTCATAATCAAACTCGTTTGTGAAGCCCACAGGAAAGACCAAAATAACATATAAAAAGAAATACTTGTCCAAGTAAACTGTGTAGTTTCTTCTTTGGGCAAACAATTATTTTTCTCCTTTGCTTGTCCCCAATGTGCATGAAATTTGATTTGCATGATTTGTTTGTCTTTTAATTAATGTCTCACAAAGAATTTGAACTGAACTATATTGTAAAACTCTTAAAATTTAGTTTAAGAAATGTCTTGATTATAAATTGGTTATTAACAAATATAATAACAACATCATCAGTATAATCATACAGGTATTATAACAAAATACAGCAGTGGGATATACTTAGAATTCAAATCAATTTCACATTTATTTCCATTAGATTAGTAAGCCCCTATATCATGATTATTAATGAACTATTGCCCTCACTCAGTAAATGTTCCGCGTGAGCCCCTCTTGCTCACCAGTCTAACATCTCCACTTTTGAACTCAGGATTGATTGCCTTCAGCAAGTACTGAAGTGCAGCACGGTAGGAGTGTATCTTCAGATGAAGGGAATTGGCTGAAGGAGATTGAACAGATTAAATTCAAAATACCCAAAGCTGAAAAACTAACAATGAAAGTGACATTTGTATAAAAATAGAACTTTTAAGAACTTGTTTCATAATTAATGGAAGCTTTGTAAATCCTAAACATTAAAAGAAATGTAACAAACCTTTTAACCTTAATATCAAAAAAGAATACAGAATGTAAGAGGAGCTATTACATTAATTAAAAGTATTTTGGAACTCTAGGCTAGGCAAATAAGGAAAGTAACAAAAATTAGAATTTTTAAGTCTGTCCTTCAATATGGCTCAGAAAGCTGGAGATCAGTTAAGTAAATTGGAAAAGATTGAAAACCTGTGTGAATAGCCCCCCCTAGTAAAAATCCTCAAATTCAAGTGGTTCCACAAAATCCCAAACACAACAGTGAGGGAAATGACAGCCCTAATCCCAGAGGAGTAAAAAAATCTAGACAAGAAGGTGGAGATGAATAGGTCATACCATAAGAAAACCCATGCCAAATATAGCAAGTAAACCCGATGGCATGGAGCCCTCAAGGATCAAGCGGACAAGGAAGAACCCAAAAAACCTCGAGAAGAGATGTCAACAATGATGTAACAAAGACTGGAAAGAGTTGGAGAGGATAGCTAGAGACCAGAATTTATGTAAAGAAATTATTAATGTTTATGCTCACTTGGGAGTTGAAAAGGCAAAGAGGGAAGAGAAGAGGACATCCTAAATTTTTACAGAAATGTAAAAAACCTTTTAATCTTGGATAGTAAGCATCAGCAAAATGACAGGCCAATTCTCGGGACACATATGTCAAATGGTGATGGGGAATATCTCTCACAAATTTACTCATGGGAAAGTTGTTCAGCTGTGTAGAGCTGCAACATCATTAAAATTGTACAAGTTAATTTTCAGGTAACAGTCACTAAAAATAAATTTAAAATAAAAAAATGAGTGAAACCAAAATCTTAAATGTAGATGTTTGGATACAACCTTTCCACACAGTGCTCAAATTATTAATCAAAACAAAATCAGTTCTGAAATGCTTTTATGAACATTTCACTCACCACTTGGTTTGATGAATAGATTTAAGTGAGTAACTTCTTTGCACATACTTTTATATTTATATGACTTAAATTTTGCACTGAATTGACTCTTTATGTCCCCGCTTAAAACTTTCAATTGCAAAGGGTTTTGAAAATATGTTAATATTGTCATTCATTTGTTCTTCCACAAAAATGTTCTCAACAATCAACATTTTTAAACAATATTATTAAATATACATCAATCTAGCAAGGCCAAGGCAGTGAATATTTTTTGTATTTGTCTGTATTATTTTTTTCCCCAGACTGATTAAAATAATGCAAAAACACATGTCTGTATCTGTATTACCCAGTTGTAGATGATGAGATCTTCATGTAGCAACAAGCTACTGAAGCTAAACCCATTGCAGCAGGGCAATCTACAAAGACTCTTAGAAGTGTTGGGGTCAGGTCTCCACAGGCATGCAGTCCGGCAAGGACAAATTTACAGTTATCTGGAGATAAAGTATTTATATATTTATATATATATAAGATAATTAAATTTAAAATTAAATTCTTGGGAAAATACACTTAAAATTAAGGTCATATCTAAGTTGGTAGGGCAGAATTTAATAATTTAAATACTGGAAGTAATTCAGAGGAATAAGATCAAGAGGTCTTAATTATGAATTAACAGACAAAGCTAACACCTATCTGTATTAAGCTGTGATCCCCAAATAAGTCCAGGGGGCATTAATATGGCCCTCGTCTAAAGTTATTGATCATGATACAATCTTTCAATACATATTTTTTCATGCATATTTCATACTTGTTAGCTCAATTTTAGACATAACATAGTAGGTAGTGAAGATATTTTCAAAGGTAAATGTTGCCCTATTTCCATTAGACTTTCGGCTCTCAATCTGGATTGAGCTTTAAACATTTTTATAATAGAGAAAAAATAAATAATAATTTCTAAATTTTAAATTTAAAGTATTCAGACATAGTCTACCAGGCTATGGTGAATGGTGATAGAAGAAACTTTATCTTGTCAGAGGCTCAACAAATCTTGTATATTTCACATACAAAGGATCTTACCTTCCCCACCTCTTGTATCCCCACCTCTTGTTTCCCCGCCTCTTGCTCGAACTATGTCCAGGAACTGGGAAGGAGCAATATCTGGTTGAACTTTACATTTAACATGATGTGGCAGGGACGTCTGCTCTAGATTATCTTCATGGGTTTTATGAAAGCAACATTGGTAATCAGTAACCTCACATATCTCAGACACAGGAGCAGGGACGTTTTTCTCATCTTGTTTTTTGATGTTTGCTAATTTGTCTTCCATAGACCCAATTACAGAGGAATGGCTTGCGTGTTCACAACATAACTTCTGCAGTGTGTCAAGTTCACTGACATGGGATTTATGATGATTTCTTGATATAGTTTGGTATGGATTTAAATTTGTAAATGATTCAACTATATTTTGGCAAAGAAATTCACTTGATAACAAAGGATCTGACTTTTTCTGGAGGAAAAATACATATATTTATTAAAAACAAATATAAAAAAAACTTGTTTGGTTCATATCTCAAAATCCTTTTAAACTATTTTTCATGTACACGGTACCTCAATGTTCTATAAGTAAAATTATTATGTCAGTAAATGTTTAGTATAAATAAGCATTCTTATATTAAAAATAATTTTGTTATGACTTCGCAAAATTAAAAAAATTAATTTATACAGTATTTAACTTTTAAAATCTCTTTGAAAGAGTTCTCATGGGGAAAAAAATCAATTTCCAAAAAGTTTACAAAACTGTTGATGATTAGTTTGTTGCTATTTCTATAAGTTTCAACTATGATTAGTATTTCTATAAAAATGATGACCACTGATTTCTTTATGATAAATTAAAGGCATTACCACTAAAATTTATTTTTAAAAAATAGGAGTAAGGATTTTCATTTGTGTCAGGGAAAAAAAAATTTAAAACCCCCCCCCCCCCCCCCAAGTTAAGGAAGCCCACGCATGAACGGAAAGAATTAGAAAGAACTGATTTTGATATATTATTCAAAAGAAGGAAAAAAAGAAAAATTACCCTGATGGAAACTTTATAAATATCTTTGTGCAATTCTCTGAAATAAATGTATAAATGGATTAAACATAATTAGAGTATCTTTTGAAATTATAAACTAATATTAAAATCAATCGTTTCACACATTATATATTTTCTTTTTGTTTGATAAGTTTAAATGAGTGAAAAAAGGATTGTGGTAATAATTTTAAAATTGAATTTAACTAGATTTTTGCACCTGTCATAAGCTTCAGCTTTAGATGCATGTCCATCAGCTGCTTCTACTGTAGTTACTTGTAAACCATGTTGAAAAGTCAGCAATCGTGATAAGTGTCCTAGACCGGCACCAACATCTACAACATGTTTACACTCACAGGTGCGGCTTAGCAAGTTAATTGCCTGCAAATGTGTGTTGAGTTACAAAACAGCAACACTGGTTACTTTGATAAAGATTTTTCAAAAATCCAACTAGATTTTAAAATATGAAATGAGCTACTTTCATTCTAAAGATAAGAGGGAGCTTGACATTCATTTAATTAAAAGATTAATGATTGGACTAAACAGTCTGTAAAATAGTTTTGCTGAAGATAGTAATCCAACAATCCTTTTCCTTGCAAATATTTACTCACCAAAAAAAAATAAATTTTAAATACATAAAGTGTATAATCTCTGGGATATGTGAATATATGTAAACTTCTCAATTGATTTAAATATGAATAAATTGGAAATAATGTTATAATGTTTTGAAACCCTATGACCATCTTGTGTGGTAACGGTATAATGAATTTTGCAAGGGATTATATTTGTAAAAATCTGTCATATATTAAAAGAATTCCTTTTACTAATAGAAACAAAACAATGTGAATCTCACTTGCCCAAGTTGGTTGATTTCATGCTGCTTCTTAGGTTTAACATGTTTACGAAATATATGTTTCATGTCCATGCACTGCCCATTTTTGTAGTTGGGGGATTGAATGGATTCATTTTCAAGCAATGGTGATGTAGAATTAGTGGACTGGAACCCCTCTTCATGCTTTCCAGCATTGATTGGACTCTCTTCTGAAATGTGTGGTGTCTCAAGTAGTGCAGATGAAATATTACGCTGTGTTTCAGGCGAATCTATCTTGACTCCCTCCCTTCTCAGCACTAAGGATTGTATGCAAATGTGTAAAGATAACAATGACAGGGGGGCAACTGAAAAACTTGTTTGTGCATCTTTCATAACCAACATCCAAGTAAGCTCCGGTGGGTCAACTTTATCAAAATATTCTTGTAATGACTTGGGGAGCTGGTCCCAGTGATTCTTAGTATAAAAGTCCTGTAAAATTATAGCATAAGTATGAAAAAAAAAAACAACACAGAAGACCACAGTTACTGCAGTTTAAAAGAATGTAAATAGTTTGTCTCCTTGTAAACAAAAGATAAAACAAAAAATGAAACAAAGGAGATTTGTCTATGGCAATCAGGGCGGTGCAAACTGAGGGGCTATGGGGTTTGAGGGAAGTGCAAACTGAGGGGCTATGGGGGCTCAGGCATCCAATGTCAAAATCAGTGAGAAATAAGTGTTATCAAATTAGACTTTAAAAAGGATTAATTTTTAAAGAATGTAATTGTCCTTTAAAAACTTACTAAAGCAAATAAAAGAATTCTTCTCTATCCAGTGGTGTAGTCATCATTGAATTTATCTGCAGTTCAGTGACACTATCTTGGATTTGTAAGTTAATTGCATCAGGGCCTTGCAGAAAAATTTTAGGCCCTTCAATAATCCAAATTTTGGGCCCCTCAAAATTTCAAATTTAGGGCCCCTCACAAATTTCAAAATATCTGTATCAAACTATTTGTGAATTTGAGACAAATGAACATTAAAACAATAAAAAGGCACACATTTGGCACTTATTTTTCACAAATTCATAAATGATATTTCAACAAATTTAGTTCCCGTGCCAAAAGAGAATCAAATCAATAAGGCCAGATCACTGGTTTCCTCTTGAAACATAGTTGACCTCATACAATTTTTTTATATTAGAGCTTATAAAATGATCGATCTGCTGTGGCAACAGTTACAGGAAATATGCAATGCAATGATTACATTTCCGAAAATTCACAAAGCTTAAATTCTGAACTTTTTTTCAGCTAATTCATTGCAGAAAGATGATTGGCTCCAAAGCAGGCAGGATGGATTTGTTTCAAATGCAAGATTTCTTTCACCACATTAGTTTCAGAAATAGAAGAATATTTCCTGGAAAAGAAAGAAATTTAAGCTTCAGATATGATGGATTAATTCCACAAGAAGCTGAACATAGCTGCAATCTCTTTAACGTTAACTGCTGTGAAGTGAGCTGTGAGTCTAGCTATAATAGAATCAATAATTGGGTGAAAAAAAAAGTTTCTTCTGAGATTGACTTCTTCATCAGGTTCAGAGAACCTACTGGAATCACATATTTCCTTCACTTATTAGGAATATTGTTGGATGAATCAACTGAAAATTTGGCCTCATCCAGAAATTTTGGACACTCATCATGAACAGATTTTAGTTCATATAACAATGAATTCATATTTGTCAACTCAGTGTCATTAGTACCTTTCCAGGCTTGAAGAATCCTGTTGCAGTGCTCAATCACTTTTAGTACTTTCATCCCAACCTTTGCCATGATGATACATATGAAGGATGTAATATATTTAATTGCACCCTTTACACCTGTACATGTCTTTGGGCTGTGATTCAGATGAAAAACTTCCCTCAGACTGACTCAGAGCTTTGATTATTCCAGCCAGGTTATTGAAGAAAAAGGTCAAACACTATCAAGTCTTTCAGTCCAGCGAGTATTTTCTTACTTAGTATATCTCAGCACATATAGTGTACACAGTTTAAACAACTCCAAAACATGTCTTATCATATGTACAGCTTTAAGCTGCATTCAATTCAGATAATTTCAATGAGTGACATCCATATGGTGAGAGACATACAGCGGCTTTTGCTTCAGCAGAATTGCTTGAACTCTTTTATACCATCCAGACATGTTTCCACCATTGTCATATCCCTGACTTCAGCAGTCCCCAAATGGAATTTTCAACACTTAAAGAATATCAAGGACCAATGTTGACACATCACATACTGCTTTTGTTGAACAATCAGCGAATGTCAAAAATCTCTCCTCTATGGAAAACTCTCCAGTTTAAGTTGCAAAAAACATTTATTGTATGACAAATGTCATTTGTTCCGTATGGCTCATATCAACCATGAATGAGAAATATTTAGCTGATTCACGCTCACCCAGAATTTTCTTACAAAATTGAAGAAAAAAAGAACTGATACACACAGTTGCATATCAATGGACAAGAAGAAAAAAATTCAGCCCTTAAGGGCCCCCATGCAAGCAGAGCCCCATGTGATCTATTCAGTTGCCTTGGCCTCTGCAAGGCCCTGAATTGCATTGCATTGCATTGCTAGTTTTAGGAATACAATAATAACAATTAGAAATGAAAAGTTTCAAACTCTTTTCATATATGATGTATGTCGATCTACATTTGTTCATTTGACATGAATATGAATAAAACTTAATAAAACAGTAGTGTGGTAAGTGGAATACCTTTTCCCACATAAATACTAAAATAATGAGTTATTATTGAGTAAGTTCAAGTCTTTGGACTTTGGATATTTCTGCATGGAAGACTTATTTACATTTTTATTTAAATTTAAGTGAAAAAAATGTCATGCATAAACTATGCTAATCAATGTCAAGCATAAATTATGCAAATCAATGTCATGCATAAATTATGCAAATCAATGTCAATCATAAATTATGCAAATCAATGTCATGCATAAATTATGCAAATCAGGTTTAAGGGTATATCATCATTTGCATAAATTTTGAGATTTCAGTTTGATTCAATTCCCTACACTAACAAGAATATATATTAATAATATAAAATATAGTTATATATTTGTAAAATACCGGTAATTAGATTATTTTTTTAAAGAATTATTGGCAAGTCATTACCGATACATATGAATCAATGACCCAGCGATATTCATGTAGAACGATTGATAGTTTATTTACTCGATCTCGAATAAGCTCTGCCGTATTTGTATTAGATATAACGAATGTAGCCATTTTTCAAATATTTAAAATTTATCTACTACAGATTTCAGTTTATTTGACTTTAAATGGTGTCACTGAATACCGAGACAACAGAGATTTACCGAGATAAGATCATTAAAATTTTAAATAATTGGGCATTAAAACTTGTTTTTACGAATTTTAAGTCTTAAATTAACTTTAATTAAGCTGTAAGAAGTAACTTTACTCATTTTTAAGTAGATTTAGATGTCGTGTGGTAGAGAAGAGACTATTATTTTACTAATAAAACAATGTTAAAGATACTTTTGAAAAAATGTGAACCATTAAAATTAATGCCATATTGGCATTATTCATTATAGCACACACACACACACACACACACACACACGCATGTACACACATCTGAATATTTATTACTATTATTTTTGTTTTTCGTCCTTCGCATGCGAAGATGACCAAGGCAATATTTGACTTGAGTTACAGCCTTGAGTTGAGCTGTATAGTATTTGGTTAAAGTAAATGAGAGTTGCTCAATTCGTAAGCCTCACTTTCTGGCACTTGCCTATTTATTAAATATATGCATATTTTTTATTGATGAGTACGATTTTATATTAAAAAAACAAATAATAAATGTATGCCTACATGATAAGGTAAGTCCTAAATTTACAATAGCTTATACAGTCGTCATACATAAATGACGTCATGCATTTTGGGGTATTGTGGGGGATGGGGTCATGAAGTTGTGATAAGCGTCTAATTTTTGTGACAAATGTGAAGATTGATTTAAAGGGGGCAAAAAATAACTGAAATAGCCATCTGTTTTAAGCACAGTTAAGTATTTAAAATAAAATAACCGAGATGATACATTTTAATTTCTATAGGCACATCCTGGAACAAATATCCAAATGTTGACAATACCTTTCTCCTTACTTAATGACCTACATTAGTAACAGCCTCACAGACTTGAAACAGCCCTCGCGTGACTTTTGTAACGCCTCTGCCAATGTTTGGTTATATGTCCTCTATATTTTTAGTTGATAGTCTAATTTTGTTTCCCCATCATCTTTGGGCTCCTTAAATTTCAGAAGCCCCCCTGCAGCCACAGAGGTTGCATTCCCGAAATAAAATAAAAACAACAACAAAAACAAAAAAAAATCAAACACCTGGTGAAATTGGGGGAGGGGGGAGGGAAGCAATTATGGCTCCGTTTTGTATTCCTCAAAAATAGTCATAAACCTTGCTAAAATTCGCATGACTGTCAACACCTCCACTCCACTCCACACACAGACCAGAAAAACACATGGAGCCACTTCTCCATTATCCACTAACTCACGCTTTTGAACACATTGACACGTCAACGCCGCTTTGTATCTATTACTTTTTAAAATTTCAGTCATTTCAATTTCCGTCAATTTACAATCAAATTTAGGTAGACTAAAATTTTGTGGCCTGTAAACAAGTATACAGGGTGTTCACTGGCTGTTGCCCCAGTGTTGTCCCTTTCAAGATTGTAACTAGTTAACGTAATGCAGCGAAAGTTCACACATAGGCACTCTTGAGTTCATGAGAAGGGAAGCCTGAAAAGTTAAAGTGTTTAGATCAGCGTTTCCCAAAATGCCGGGTCGCGACCTGGTACCGGGTCACAATTGCACATTGCCGGACCGCCAAAAGAAGAAACAGAAAAAAAAGTGGACTTTTTTTTTTTTTTTTCGTTTTTGTGCATTCGGCGGGGTTTGTTTTAACATTTCATGTTCAGCCCGTTCATTTTTCATTCTTTTCAATTTTTAGTTTCTAGAAAAAACGATTTTAAAAATTTTAATTTAATTTTACCCAAAATGCCGGGTCGCGACCTGGTACCGGGTCACAATTGCACATTGCCGGACCGCCAAAAGAAGAAACAGAAAAAAAAGTGGACTTTTTTTTTTTTTTTTCGTCTTTGTGCATTCGTCGGGGTTTGTTTTAACATCTCATGCTCAGTCCGTTCATTTTTCATTCATTTCAACTTTTAGTATCGAGAGAAAACGATTTTAAAAATTTTAATTTAATTTTCGACAACTTTTAAACAGGCCATAAAAAGAAAACCAGAGTATAGGTCACAAGCCAAATATACATATGCTACGAAGATAACAGAGTTAAACTTAGACTTGTGGAGATGGCAGATTCTATCAAAGAACCTGCTTTAGGTAATTTAAAAGAGAATATTTTTTTCTGTAATTTGATAGGAATTAAAATATATCTGGCTCTTTAATTCTGTTTTTTAATACGTAAATGGCAGTTTAAATTATACAAAATTATGTTGGGGCACACGAAGGATATATATATATATAATGATAATAACCGGGCCATGGAAAATAACTTATGGGAATCGCTGGTGTAGCTGATAGACCTCGTTAAGTTGGTGTAGAAGATTATAGTATTCTTGAAAATTTCTTGGGAGGGGGGGGGGGCAACAGCTAGTGGAAATACCCTGTATTTAAAACATAATTTATTTATTTATTTATTTAGGCATTTTTATATAGCGCTTATCATAAAGCTTTAAGAGCTTTACAATTATTAAAACATGTAAACTAAGTAAATAAAAATGAGACACTGGGGATGGTAAGGGAAAACGACAGAAAAAAAAAATCTTGAAAATTTCTTGGGAGGGGGGGGGGGCAACAGCTAGTGGAAATACCCTGTATTTAAAACATAATTTATTTATTTATTTATTTAGGCATTTTTATATAGCGCTTATCATAAAGCTCTAAGAGCTTTACAATTATTAAAACATGTAAACTAAGTAAATAAAAATGAGACACTGGGGATGGTAAAGGGAAACGACAGAGATAAAAATAGAGAGAGAAAGAGAAAGGCGGTGAGAGAATGGGGAGAGAAAGAGAGAGAGAGAGAGAGAGAAAGAAAGAAATGGTATAATAGAAAGGAAAGACAATCACAAGGTGTGAGAAACAAACCAAGTTGGAGGGTGCGCGTGTTGACATGCACGCGAGTCTAAACTAGTGCATGACGTCATTACCAAGTGAGGCCAAAAATAATGTTGTAAACAAAACTTCGGGTGGAATGTGCTTGTCGGAGGTTTCAAAGCGGCTCTCCGGTCCTATGGGAGTACTTACTGTGACTGAATGGTCTTGTCTCACCGCGCGGACATTATTGTTGACTTTCATGATTTAAAAAAAAAACAAAGGTTGAAACGCAGCATGCATTAGCCAGTGCATTAACAAAATCTTGTTTCATTTGGGTCTATGTCAAGTGTGTATGTCTGTGCCGTATATAGTACCGGGTACAAAAATGAATTTGGTATAAGATGGCCCCCTTAATATTCAGTGAAGAATACCATCAAATAGGCTCTAATGATAAAAGAAAAAAAAATATTGATATGTCTAGTTTTAATAGATGTTCTGAGAAAAACTTTCATCTATAACCGAGACACATATAAATTTCGCCACTGCACCACAAGCGTATACATATATATTTAATAGGCCTATAATAGGCTTATTGAGGGCGGTATTATCGTTCAACTGCAGTTTTTGTCGTTTTGTTTTGGGTTGGGGGTGGGAACGACGGCAAAAATTTTAGCACCTCCGGGGCGTAACAAATCATAGCCACGCCACTGCGCTGCACACATAATGCATGGTTCGGATATTTTTTGTTGTTGTTGATTCGTTTGATAATCCCATTGCCATTGCCGTCTATTCACCCGGCCTTTATGCCTTCGTAAACGTTAAATCTGTCTTGCACATGCTCATTCCTAAGTCATGGGCTTACAACGGCCATCTATATACCAGGGCTTTTTGTTTGGTGTCAATAAGCCACATTCATATTTTTAGTCATGTCACGTGTGGGATGCATGGGGGTACTTATTCTAGAATGTTTGTTCCAAGGTCAAGGTGAAATGCATAAATGATTGTAGCTCAAGTCCGCTTGGCCTATATAGGGATATTGCATGTGTCACACGTTCTAGATTCCATTTCAAGGTCAGTTTGGTTTCAACGGGACACCGAGTTAACAGTTTAGCCTTGTGCCATGAAAAAGTACTGTCTGTTTACTTTCCTGAAATTATATCATTACATGGCTAACTGATCTACAGATTTATTTCAAGTCATTGTTTCACAGCGGCTTTCATTATTGTGGGTCTTTTCCAGCCCGTGTGCATTTGAAGAAGAAAAACGGTGTGCAGTTTTATTGTTTTATCGACGTGTGTAGTCTCTCTCCTTAAAAAAACTAGGCCAAGTAAGGATGTGTAAATCCTGTGCGGGACAAAGTTCTAGTTTTATATGTTATGAGTCATTGTGTATGTGTTTTTGCAGGTGGAAATCGATGCTAACAACAAAAGCTGTAGGACGGTATTTTCATGAGTTTATGTACTTTGGCACACTGTCTGTCTAACATGCAAAAGTTCTCTATTATATTTGCTAACAAACCATGGAACCTACTATAAACTATAAGTAAATGTTCGCATTAAAAAAAAAATAATAATAATAATTGGAGAATGGTAAAAAAAGAGTAGGGCCTACATGTCTCTTTAATTGAAAATCCTTTTCTCCCCATTCTTTGCATTAGTTGTGTTACAAAATAACGTGACCAGAGGTGTTAACTGTTTACAAACAATAAAAAATATAATAAAAGATGTCAAATCTCTTCGATCGCGTGATGATGTGGGTGGCTGGCATCCTGTACGGCATCTGGGTGTTGGTACAGATAGCAAAAGACGTCTTCGCCGTCGGTTTCCGTGAGGTGTTTCAGAAGAAACCGATCACCAAACCGGCATGTCTCACCGATCCGACTCTGGGAACACACGGATTTCTGTCTTTAGAGGTATTAAGTTTGGCAGGTGTGAAAAGGTGCCTAAGAAACAGAGCTCTTTTGGTTTTTGTTACACAAAACTGTCTTTTTTTTTTTTTTTTTTTGTCCCTTAAAAATATTTAACCTATAATAACGTATTGAAAATTATCATTGTAAATGATTTCAAAGAACGTTGGTGAAAGAGAGAGAGGGGGGGGGTGAGTGGTCGAATCTTAGCAAAATCAGAAATTGGTATTTAGGTC